CGAGGAAAAGATTTTAAGCTTCAAGGAAAAATTTTTTTGTTTCAGAGGAAAAAATTTTGAAAAACTTGAAAAAAAACTGTGAAATTTCGAAAAAACTTTTTTAAAATTTGTGCAGCACCAATTCTTAGAAGGAACAAACCTCAAGCTCGATATTTCGGGAATTAAGGGTGAGGAATTCGGGTCATCGGGGCAAAAAATGGGACCCTCTACCGACTGGGTTATGGACTGAGGCAAAAATTCTGGTTCCTTTTCAAACAAATCCAAATTCTTTGATTTTTGAAGCATGGCATGATATCCAAATCCAGTTATTTTTCGGACTGGATTATGGCCTCAGCATCAAATTCAGGTTGCCTCAGCCTTCAGCTTCAAATTCAGATTGCTTTCCGGGTTAAGTTCTGACTTCAAAAATTGGATCGTAACGTTGTTTTCCGATTTGAGCTGCGATTCTCAAGTTCAAGTTGCTTCTCGAAAATTTATAGCCTTCGATTCAAAAAAAAAAACTGTAACCTGAGACATTATAGCCTCAAATTCATTATCACGACCTTAAAAATATCACATAATATTTCACATAATGATTTATGGCTTCTTGTTCGGAATTGCATGAGGAGCAATTGCTCCTTATGTAGTTTCTAACAAAAATCCATAAATCATTATGTGAAATATTATGTGACATCACATTCAGGTTGTTTCTCTAACCTTAATAGTTGCTTTTCGAACTGGATTTTGAACTTAGTTTTAAAGTCAGATTGCCTTTAGAACAAAAAAAAAAAAAAATTAAAGCACTCACGGATGTAGAATTTTAACCGTTTAGAACCATCAAATAAGTTATAAGTTTGCGATGCAAGAATTTTGCTGGTACATTCGTGATCGTGAGCAACAATTAATGTTAAAAATTCATAAATCTATTAGTATTTGTTGGCATTCCTAGTAAAATTAAACTTTTTATGCGTTTTGTGCCGTGCAACGGTTGTACAAAACGCATATTGTCACGGGGTTGTCTGTGTGTATGTGTACGTATCTGTGTGTGTATGTGTGTTTGTGTGTGTGTATGTGTGTGTGTGTGTGTGTGTGTGTGTGTGTGTGTGTGTGTGTGTG